CCCTCCGCCACCGGCCAAAAAAGTCCACTTTAGTTCGTTTGTTTTTCAAATTACTTAAAACCTCGGTACGCCATTTACATGATCTACATTTAATTGCTATACCTGAACAGTTGTAATGTATGTACACACTGAAAATATAGGCCTTGGGCACCGAGAGCCGTTTGTACGGTCCGGTAACGATTGTAATTGGTGTTTGGCTCTCCAGACTTGAAGAAAACTCATGATGACCGAACAACAATAGTGTATGGTCATTTCACATCAGTAATGTTGGACTTGGAGTAAACCTGGTCTGAGATAGGATGGGGGACAGTGTCTCAGTTGAATTTATAATGACTATAAAATACAACCAATCGGGCTCTGTGTTATTTGAAAAGCAATGGAACATGAGTGCCAGATTTTTTTTTTTAGCGGAGTACAGAGCATAGCAAGCAGTGGAATCTTAGAAGATGATAGTCGGCTATCATCATATTAGGTGCATGGGCGTCGCCAGGATTTTTTAGGGGGGGGGGGTAAAGCACAGTTTCCCCACAATCCTTGTACTTTCTCTAGCATATTCTCAGTGAATCTTTTTTTTCGAGGGTAGGCGGGGACATTTGCCCACACCCCACCCCATAGACACCCCTGCAGACGCCCATTTTGTTAAATGTGTATTAAAGTAATAGCAAATATGACTTTACACCTTTGTTTGTTTGTTTTTCCTCCCTTTTTTTGGGGGGGGGGGGTCGCAAGCGCCCCTCTCTTGCCCCGTCCTAGCGACGCCCATGATAAGGTGTATAAAGTATACCTTTACCGGTATGCCAGGCAATACAGCCAAAACATTAGTGAGCTGCTTTGTGCAGATAATAATGTAAGTCAACTACATCTTGCCAAATAACGGTCTTATTATTATATTCAGCATCATGTCATAATAAACTCATTGCAAAAACAAATAGTTAGACAATATGCACTTAATTGGCATCATTTCATAATTGAGCCATCTACACGGGTGCCACTGTAGTTGTTGTTTTTCCCATTTTTCTTTTCGACCTACCGACCCTACTTCAGAGGTAAAAAAAATATGCGAACTATGGCAAGAAAAAGGAATGCTCTTATTAAATAACCTCGGATGGTATCAACATTCTCCGAATCAAGCAAAACTCCGCTATTATTTTTTTTTAAGTATTCGTCATCTTCCCACCCATTGCCGTGCTGCGCTTCCATGCTTAGGTAGAACTTCTCGAGTACTCTGGAAGGAACCCCAAATGTCGCTTTAAAGTTAATTGAAATGTATTTATAGCAGAACAAATTTCCTTTGAAATCAGTGAAAGGGGCACAGCTGCTCAACCGTGAAGCAGTTCTGTCGGTACCACTCGGTACCAACACAAGTAGAGCACGTACTACGCATGCGTTGGTCGAACTTAATTCAAAACATTTTTTGACAATGTCCGTACCTGGCTCCCTTAGCCTTTGTTTGGGGAAGACAGGGTCACTGGCAAATAGTTTGTTATTTTCCCTCCTAAAATAGATTTTTCTTTTCAGCTTTCTGGGTCGTAACTATACTTTTCCTTTTTTTTCATAATCCAGGTGTTTGAATGGCAAAATCAAACTGTGCCAACCATCCGAAATATGCAAGGGAGTTTACGGGCTCTCCATGAACTAAACAGCAAATCAACAAAAATCGATAGAGCCAGAAAATACCAATACCAGTGGAGGAACACATTTTGTCCAATATTTCCCCCATCATGCTCCTTACTCCCACAATGCAATGAGGCAAAGAGTATGACGTCATGGTGTTTCATTGACGTCAGGTAGTGTCTTACCAATATTAGGCTTTTAAGTTTACATATATATATCAAAGAATCACATAAAACCTTTTCCATTTCAAACTTCAGCGTTGGAGCAGAAGGGATTTTGCCGTATACGCCATCCTCAAGGTTTGAATTCACCTAATTCTCTGGCACAAGACGCAGTCTTGCCAAACAGCAAACACTGTTAGGTGCGCGACTTATTACATTAAAAAACCAGGGGAAATCAATTTGTATTCAGACTTATTTGGTTTTACTTATGATATGACTTTGTTTTTTTTCATTCATTCATTCATTCTTTATTATTTTTACCACATCTCATTTCATTAAGTGACAAGGCATAAATACATACATGTAGTTTTGGGTATTATAATGTTCGAGCTTGTTTTACAGCTACTGTACTTTGAGTATTCCTTTTCTCGATTATCTAAAAGTTTGAGACTAAGTTATCGATTTGTTTCAGCCTGTTTAAATATTTTAGATAACTTTCTCAAAGCGGCCCTTGGCTGCGTTGTTTCCTGTTTTACTGGACATCCAAATACGAGTGAGGTAATGTGTATTTATAGATTTATCATTGTGCCTCAAACTATCGACCCCCAAACTACTGAAATCTGGGACATTTTAATTTATTAAATAGGTCACTGAATATTGTGCGGGGGCGTGCTAATGTCTACGGAGTCTTCATTATGCTATACGTAATCGCACCTGATCAAACAAAGTCCAGCACGGAAAAAAAGTGAAGAAAAGAAATGAAATCGAGCAAGCTAGGTTCGGGTACAAATCGAGAGTAACTTAAATTCTGCCTCGGAAAAGTAACTGAGCTTCTCTGGGTTGTTTTCTGTGCGACTGCGGCCTTACAAAAATATTTTCAAATTCAGCATTTTGTGTTCACCTAGCCTATATAGTGTAGGCTAATTGTATTATTAGAATGTTAAAGTCTATACATATAAGATTCTTTAACAAAATCCCATGAGACATTTGAAGCTTTTAAGGGGTTCTGCAACGCATTGTCTTCGTGTAAGAGTTTTTTTCAGTCTCAAATGCCCCTTGAAGGATACCGTAGTTTAGTCCATTCCTGGTAGTGGTACGTTTGTTCCTGGGTGTACCGAATACAAACAGCACAACAATGTTTTGTGTTGCACGTTTGTGGCTCAGAGAACTCCAAATCTAGACCCATGAGCAATGAAAAAGTCATGCATGTCGATGCAAAACGTTTTTCCTCATTTCCTTGGAGGCTGACACTAGACCATGGTACCGGAGACCAGATGGGGTTAAAGGCGTATACTTTAAGGGTGCACACCGGTAAATAGGCCTAAATCCATCCGCCGAGCTCATGAATAAAAGTTATACCAAAATATTCTATATTAGAGAGTTCTGAGCGCCGTAAAATAGGGTATTGAAGAGATATGGTAATGAACCTCTGGCCCGGACTTGGGGCTTCCGATTCTGAGCATTTTGGATGCTATTGGGCTCGAAAGTGGCGCTATTTTGCCATGTTGTGGAGGGATCGTTTTCAAGATGGCTACTTTTCCGCTTTGGGGAAAATAGGGGTCGTCTTTTTTTGGGTGAGAATATCTCGAAAAGTCAATGGTCAACCCACCAAAAAATGAAAAGAAAACGAAAGATGACATGTTGATCATTATTTTTCTGTGCAGCTTGAATACCTGTGAGAGTTCTGAATATTTTTAAAAGAATTTTGAAGTATGGGCATTTGGCACTAGTGTCTATGGGAATTTATTTGCAGGGTTGCATCCTTAAGTTATCCAATGTTAAAACAAAAGAATGGGTGGTTAAAATTGGTATGTTTACACAACTCAATAAAAAAGAGGAACGAGCGAGTTGAGTGCAGTTTTTTTCCCTGTCAATACAAATTCAGTCGTGCTATGCATATTGATGCCGCGTGATGCATGCCTGGAATCGCTAGGGTCCGAGTGCCTAAGTCCCAAATGCTAGATTTATTAATTCAAGCCCTAGCACTATATGTCTTTCTATGCGTAAAGACAGGCCCGTCGCCTGGTGGGCCCCCTTGGCGAACACTTGACCCCCCCCCCCCCGGCAAAAGCCATATATGTGTATTTGTTTATTTTTATGGTAGTGGGCCCCCTATAGTTGATACTCTGCCCCCCCCCCCCCCGATGCTCAGGGCTGGCGACGGGCCTTCGTAAAGACTTTATAATTCCGCCCCTCTTTAGACTTCAACTCTCCTCCCCGACCCCTACCCCACCACACCCCCGGGGAATCCTGGCTCCACCACTGCACTTGTGGAAGTTTTGAACTGTTGACGGTGCAATGATAATGTCGATGAGGAGCATCAAACCTACTTGGATGACGAATGCACCTTTTTCGATACAGTCAAGGTCATGTTTACTTCAGCTGTCACAGGCTCAACCCGTCACAAGATCAGACAGACGGCAATTAATTACCATCGCAAAGAGGGAGAAGGTAGTACAGAGAATATGATTTGTTTGTCCATTAAAGCACTCCGAAGTTAATGTCTGCCTCGTGTCCGCTGAAAAAAAAATCAGTTAGGCCAAAAAAAAAAATACTCGGTCTCTGGTCAGCGCGCGCGTCGATTTTAAACATGTGCATCAACTTTTTTTTCTTCAAATTAACACGGAAGCTACAACAGCGCCCTCTATTGCCGCGCCTCCTCACATTTTTGTACCAAGGAGCACCAAGGAATGGGGAAATTGCACCAAGGCAAATGAAAAGGGCACCAAGGCAACTTACGGAGGACACCAATGTATAATAAGGACACAAAAAAACAAAATAGTACACACCTTGTCTGTACAATACAAGCTTGAAAAAAAAAGCCCCCCCCAAAAAAAAAAAAAAAAAAACGCGTCGGCGCATCAATTCTGGAACTTCGGTCTGACCAGAGACCGATTTTTTTTTTTGGCCTTAATGATGAGAGACGGATTTTATGAAAACTGACGTCTGGTTAAAAGCAAAATAATTAATCTAATAACTTGAGCTCTTCAAACGGCGGCTCAAACCCGCGAATAGAAACGGACAATAAAACAAACATTTTAGGCTCACTGGGGCATTTTGGCTTGCGATTCCATCCCCAGTCGGCTAAAAAAACAATCATCTACTTCTGGCTGCAGCGATGACACGTCTTGATTAAGCACCGCGATTATTACGGACTCGTTCTGAAAAATATAACGGCACTGAAAGGTCCGGCAAACTGAATCTAGCAGGGCGCGACGACACGCGATGGCCGGTGGATCGCACCGATTCGCGGGGTGGCCTCAACTAGCCGCAGCGGTGGTGTTAATTCAGATTACTACAATCACTGGTAAGAATGGTGTACAGCCAGTGGGTTTTTTATGGTCCCAGTGGGCCAACTTATAGAGTCATCTTAATGTTACCTCTCTGGATGACTCAATGACTGGACTTAGTGACTGACTGACTGACTTACTATATCCACGGGCGGATCCAGAACACAATTTTTTTGGGGGGCCCAAAAATCATGATATAATAACTAATGAAAATATTTTGTTTGTAATTGACAGATTGCGTAGAAGCGTTTCCCGAAAGATCAGGTAAGGGCAATTTTACAGACATCGTAGTTTTGTTTGAAATCCAAACGTATACCCTCCCCCTCCTTTTCCCCCACTTCACTTACACAGCCACGCCCCTTAGACCACCCTAACACCTTTACAAAAAAAGGAGAAAATATACAGGACAATACAGTTCTCATTTTCTTTCATTTTATTTCTGAGAGTTTAAGCCTTTTTTGCATATATTTCGTGGCTTTGTCAGGTGATTTCATCCCTCCGCAATTTGTTACCTGCCCGGGAAACATTGACCGGACCGGATCGGTGGGCAACGCGACTGCCGGTGTGTCGGTGTCCTGGCCCCCACCAAACGCCACCGACAGCGGCGGTGGAACGGTGAGTCTCTACCAAACGGCCGGGCTTCCGTCTGGTTCCCGCTTTCACGAAGGAACACATTTCATCGCCTATACTGCAACGGATGCTGCGGGGAATACGGCTACATGCTCGTTTTACGTTCAAGTTGCTTTCAACGCTGGTAAGTGAAACGCTGTATAAATCAGTGGGGTAAACTACAGGGGGCAAGGGGGAACGTGTCCCCCCGGTGGATGTCCATGTCTCCCTCCCTTATTTGAAAACAAAAATTCCGTCCCTTGAAAGTTGATGCACCCCTAGTGGCCCCCCAGAAGTTATACGTCAGTTTCTGTAATCGCTTTGTAAATTTAGACATCTATATTGACTTTATCCCATGTAGCACAAGACTCGAAACCCATGTAGCTAGAAAGCAAACCTTTTTAAAAAAGATCATGATTAAAAGTTTCTGTTACAAACTACAAGCAATAGAGTTTAACTTAAGGCATTTAAAACGTCTTAATTTTTGACAGTTTCCTTATATGTTTTACTGCACAATGCAAAACGTCGTATATTACCTCGACGAGTTACGACGTTTTGACAATATTATACATAGCACGTCGTTTTAAGCGAAAACGTCGTATGTTGATCTCATTCATTCAAAAGTTCTTTTATCTAAATTTACGGGCGATAACAAAGAGTTCAACATATTGAACATGTTTCTGAATAAATTATCTTCCTGAGGTTACTTTATCTTTTAATTCAATGAAACGCAAAAATGTAGCGAGCCACCTCAAAGCTACATGCGCTTTTCTCGAAACGACTCAAAACTGAATTACGACTTTTTGCACTAACACGACGATACACAAAACTAAGAGTCATGTTTACATTTGTGATCCGATAAACCATGCCTTGATCATGACGTCATCATGACTAAATCAAAGTAATTACAAACGATTTAAGGTTTAAATTGACAAAACACTTTCATTTATAACTTTTTAATCTGAATTGAGTATTGCCTGATAACTTCCAGGGTTGACTGAAGTGCGTGATAAAATTAATATAACTTTAATTAAAAATATGATTTGAAACAAATTATTCAACTTATGATCAATACGGGTTGCTTAACACAAACGAAAGGACGCCCTTAAGCCGTGCTCTTTTGAATGGTGATAAACATTCTCTGGAGATTGACAAACTAATACTTTTATGGAAAAAAAACTATATCCAACCCTACCAAATAATTCCCAGATAGGCCTACGTCTAGTGCCAGAATTCTAACCAATCTATGGCATTTTCATACTGTCGTCTTGCCGTAAGTGAAACCAAGTCCCCGGCATCGGACTCGAACACGAGTCTGGGTCGGCTGCAGATTTGGGATCAAACGAGCATCGGCACTGGTAAGGGGCCAAGGGCTGCGGAAATGACATTTAAGTATTTCCTTTTTAATTGCGAGAAGGATTGATTTAATCATGGAGGAAGATAGATTGCTGAATGATAAAGTTCCGTAGGCTGACCCTATTGACTCCATCCTGGTAGATGTCTGGTGCTTATCTGTGAGGAAAACTACCAGTTATCAAGTCAACTACCAGTTATCAGTCAACTACCAGGGCTTTAAATTTCACTGTAAAGAATGGCGGGGAAATCAACAAGAATATGGCCAAGGATTATCTGTTACCGAGATTCAGCACAAATCGTTTTTCAAATTAAAACCATTTTAGCTTCCAGTCGAATGAATTCCTTTTATTTCTATTTCTTGAAGATTACTGTTCGTCTCACCCATGTCTGAATGGAGGGCTTTGTGTTTCTGCGACCAACTCATACCTGTGTGTTTGCACAACAGGATATGTCGGTGTTCGATGTGATGCAGGTATAAACGCAAACAACTTTACCAATATAGGCCTACACAAAAATTGTCCACTCATTTTTTCCAAAGTTTGCTGATATTTTCAAAATTGCAACATACGATTTGGGTTGGATTTAGTTTTTTTTTTGGAGTAAGGTCAATTTTAGTACACAAATTTATTTCATAATACCATTTGTCTAGTTATGAAATGAGTAATCAAAAATCAGAAACTTATTTGTACATTATACTTTTTGCAAATATAAGAATGCAAATAGTTGTACTACAACTACTACTGGTGGACAACATAAATTAGCAAAGGAAGTTATTCATTGATTTATTGACTACTTCTGATTTTAAATGAATACTGAGAACTGAAACGTGAATAATATACGGAATATGAATCCCACACTTTGGCGATAAGTAATTAACCATTCTTTTGTACTTTTTCAACCCAGAGTGTTTCAATAATGTATCGAGTTGCGTAAAAGAGGAATTTTAGTAAATGCATCCTATTTTCTTTGCTTCTGCTAGATTTAAATGAATGTGCGTCAGTCCCATGCCTTAATGGCGGTGTTTGCAACGACGGTGTAGGCAGATATGATTGCTCCTGTAGGCCAGGCTATACCGGTACACACTGTGAGGTGTACGATCATGCATCAACAACGCCCAGCCCAACCCCAGGTTAGTTATTCATGATTTCCTTGGAGTTCTTGTAGATGAAGGCATTGTTCAACTAGAATGAGAACACAAACAACGTGCCCCTAAAATAACAAACAATTTCTTTATATTAAATATAATAAGACAGACTCAAAACAAATCTGTCCAAGTTTAAACTCACACTACCCCACGGTACAAAACAGCTCAATCGCTCTACCCACCAGTCCCTAACCCCAACCTCTTTTCCCTTATATACTCCTCCCTCTTTTGAACAAAGTTTACCCCCTATCCCGCCCCTCTAAACACGCCGCTGCACCATTTGTTTCGGATCCGTAACATGTAATCACTACTTCGCACGCGATCACATTAACCAACTGAAAGACAATGGATCCTTCATCATTACCGCTATATAAATTGTCCATCAGACATTATACACCGATAACCGCTTCCCCCTAAAATTTGCTATCGGTTTCAAGCACCATGATCTTTGAAATTCAAATTCATGCTATATACGGATCCGAGGCTAACATTAACGTAACTATAACCGAGCCTATACCAAATAATTCCCAGATATAGACTTACGTCTAGTGCCAGAATTCTGAGGCATTTTCGAACTATCGTCTCGCCGTATAAGCGAAACCGAGACCCACCGAACACTAGTATACTAGGAAGCCATATCGTTCACACTTAACTGGGTTGTACCCCAGGTCGGCAGCAGATTTTGGATTTTCTATCCGGAAAGAGCCTCTCAACCCTGGGCCCGATCAGTACCCGTGTTGAGCGCTGGCCCCGTGTAGGAGAATTATTGCTTGTGTGGGAGTGCTTTTCACACTAGACACGGGGATTGTAAGCTTTTTGTGTGTCTCACCGTGCGTGGAAGTGGTCATGTCCCGTTCTCCTTGTTCCACTCTTAAGATCCATGTTCACCGTCATCCTGTGTGGACCAGGCCCGGATTACCCAATAGGCACAGTAGGCACTGTTCCTAGGGCCTACGAAAAATTCAGGGGTCTACGAAAAATTCAGGGGCCTACGAAAAATTTGGGGCCTACGAAACATTTGAGGGCCTACGAAAATACCGCAATGCGCCATAAAACACATAATTATATAGGCCGTTTCTGCCTGCAATCAGCGACCCCCTATTATCTCTCTTTTGTTTTTACTTATAAGGAAGACCTCCCATATGTTTTGTACACGGTCGCCAAGTTTTCGTCCCCTACATTCTATGAGCTCGAAATAGCTGATTCAGTGACTCCAAACTCTAAAATGAAGTTTAAATGATGAAACTAACTTGGTTAAAGTGGTCAGAAATGGCCGCAGAAATGGCGTCCATTTTTTTCGGGGCCCCTATGCGGGCCCCAAACCATACGCCGTTAGTAAGCTGACATGTATGTACCGTCCCCCACTTTTGAGAAGCGATTGAAGCCCTTGTTGCCAAAATGCTTTTAGAGCTAGGACCTATATACCAATTTATCCTGGCTTGATTTGTACAACGCTTTCTAAGTTCATAGCATCATCATTAATTTGGTGCCAGTGCGTGCCTATAGCCATTAATAAAACGGAGATTGTAGCTTTTCGTGTGTCTCATCGTCAAAGTGTTCCTGTCCTGTTCTCCTTGTTGTACTCTTCTTAGATCCATGTTCGCCACCACCCTGTCAAAACGGCGGATCGTGTATGGCGTCTCTTGGGAGTTATTATACCTGCGTGTGTGCCGCTGGGTCCTACGGAGCTAACTGTGAACACCAAGGTATTAAGAAACACGTTATCGGTGCCAAACCACAGTTTAAAGTCAAGTTAAAACACTTCAGATGAAAAATGTCTGTTTTGCATTTCAACTAGAAAGATTTTTCTCTTTGTGTTCACTTAAGAATCTCATCCATGTTTCTTTATTATCCACTTCCATTGCTTCACAATCTTACGGAAGACAGATAGTGTCACTCAATATATTCACACGTACAAAAAATATATACTCAGACTTATTGATTGGTACTATCCGTCTTCCGTACAATCGGATCGTTTTGCTTTGGTTTTTTTTTTTATGCTAAGCATGGTTTGTGTTTGTTTTGACATCTCCCTTTCCATAGATCCATGTTCCCGATCGCCATGTCATAACGGCGGAACGTGCCACCGGGTCAGTAACGAGAACTTTTCCTGCGACTGTGCGGTCGGTTTTAGCGGCTCCCTATGCGAGAACGGAGGTATATTTGATTTGAATTCATCAGTATCAACTATTGTGAGCAAAGGTGTTCAATAAAATTGTCCCCAAAAATTAATCAAAGGCCTATTGAAGAGAAACAAATTATCCGACGCTTGTTTGATGACAAGCACTCCTGCATGTTACCCCGTCCATGATCGTCCGCACCAATAGACCTTGTATAGCAGCCATCTTAGAGGGCAATGCCTTTGTGTTTTGCTAGCCTTCTAAAATGGCCGCTACGCGTAAGGTATATGCCATATTTTGAGCAAATCAGGACGCTGTTACGACGCTAACTAGTGGGCAAGTTAGTTCGACTGAACGCACACTAAATGATGAACGCACGCTACAGCCGAAGATGGTTGGGCTATAGTTTAGTCGACTATTCAGGACCAGCCTAAAGCGACTTGTGCGGTCGCGCCACGATTTATAGCTGGTTATCAATAGCAAGTTTTCATAGCATAGTGCAGAGGGGACCGATATCAACAAATATGGCGGAACTTAACGAAAACTGTGAGTGCTAAATTTCATCATTGCATAGTTTTTCCATGTTAGTTCACCATTGTACAATAATAAAGGTGAATATGTATTAAGGTGTCCTTAACCACGCAATCACCATTATTTGTGTAATTAAACAGAAACATCAAGCGTTGAAAATATTAATTATTATTGTTCAGCGGATTTGTGTCCACGCACTTCAATTTCAGTGCGCATGCGCTAGGTACGTCACAAACCAACCACTAGTAAACCATTGGTCCTTGATCGAACTTGCTCGTAAATGAAAAAAATGTAGCAACTTCACTTCAATGTTAAAAAAAATGCAAGATGATCAAAAGTCCTTGTTGAATTAATAGAAAATGTAAACTTGCTCACGTCTCCTCACAACGCCCTCATTCGCGCAAAATGACACAATTAGGGCCTAACACAACAAAATACTTTTGAGTTATTGTCATAAAACATGAGGGCGCTGCCACAAAAAGAAATTAAAGAGGACAATACAGTTCTCATTTTCTTCTATTTTATTTCTGAGAGTTTAAGCATTTTTTGCATATGTTTCGTGGCTTTGTCAGTTGATTTCATCCCTCCGCAATTTGTTACCTGCCCGGGAAACATTGACCGGACCGGATCGGTGGGCAACGCGACTGCCGGTGTGTCGGTGTCCTGGCCCCCACCAAACGCCACCGACAGCGGCGGTGGAACGGTGACTCTCTACCAAACGGCCGGGCTTCCGTCTGGTTCCCGCTTTCACGAAGGAACACATTCCATCGCCTATACTGCAATAGATGCCGCGGGGAATACGGCTACATGCTCGTTTTACGTTCAAGTTGCTTTCAACGCTGGTAAGTGAAACGCTGTAATCAGTGGGCAACTACGGGGGGGGGGGGGGGGGGGGGGGGGGGAACGTGTCCCCCGGCAGATGTCCATGTCCCCCTCCCCTATTTGAAAACAAAAATTCCCCCTTGAAAAGTAGATGCATGCGTGGTGCCCTCCCCCCCCCCCCCCCAGAAGTTACGTCGGTCTCTGCAATCGCTTTGTAAATTAAGACATCCATAATATTTCGACTTTATTTCGTGTTTCGGAAGGCTCGCTACCCTTTAGCTAGAAAGCAAATAAAGATCCAGTTTATCATTTTCTTCGAAAAAACTACAAGCAATAAACATGACCGTCGCCAGGATTTTTTTTCTGGAGGGGGGGGGGCAAAGCACATTACTTCCCACAATCCTTGTAGATTCTCAATTTATCAAATTTTCGAGGCCGGGCGGGAGACATTTGCCCATCCCACCCCCATTGACACCCCTGCGGACGCCCAATATGCATTGATTTAACAGCAATATGACTTTGAACTTGTTTTTCCTCCTTCCTAGATCCCTGTTCACCACCACCATGTCTGAACGGCGGAGTGTGCACAAGGACTGGCGTGAGACTTTATACCTGCAGGTGTGCCGCTGGGTTCTACGGAGCTAACTGTGAGCATGTGCAAGGTAAAGGAAACAGACTTAGTTGATGGCAAACCATCGTGTAGATGACAAACCATCGTGTAGATGACAAACCATCGTGTAGATGACAAACCATCGTGTAGATGACAAACCATCGTGTAGATGACAAACCATCGTGTAGCGGGTGTTCAAATAGTATGGCGTCTGATGGGAGTTATTATACCTGCGTGTGTGCCGCTGGGTCCTACGGAGCTCACTGTGAACACCAAGGTATTAAGAAACAAGTTATCGGTGCCAAACCACAGTTTAAAGTCAAGTTTAAAAACTTCAGATGAAAAATGTCTGTTTTGCTTTTCATCTAAAAATGTTTTTATCTTTGAGTTCACTTAGGAATCTCATCGATGTTTCTTAATTATCAACATCCATCGCTTCACAATCTTACGGAAGACAGATAGTGTCACTCAATAAGTCTATATATATTTTTTGTACTGTGAAAATATTTTTTGTACAGCGGCCGCCACATAATAAGTGGCGGCCGCTGTTCAAAAAAATATATTCATACGTACAAAAAATATATATAGACTTCTTCTTACGTACAATCGGATCGTTTTGTTTTGGTTTGTTGTTTTTTTGTTTTTTTGCTAAGTATGGTTTGTGTTTTGTTTTGACACCTCTCTTTCCATAGATCCATGTTCCCGATCGCCATGTCTTAACGGCGGAACGTGCCAACGGGTCAGTAACGAAAACTTTTCCTGCGATTGTGCGGTTGGTTTTAGCGGCTCCCTATGCGAGAACGGAGGTATATTTCATTTGAATTCATCAGTATCAACCATTGTGAGCAACGGTGTTCAATAAAATTGTCCCCCAAAATGAACCAAAGGCCTATTGAAGAGAAACAAATTATCCGACGTTCCATTTTCAGGAGTTTCACAGTGTTTGATGACAAGCCGCTCCTGCATGTTACCCCGTCCATGATCGTCCGCACCAATAGACCTTGTATAGCGGCCATCTTAGAGGCCAATGCCTTTGTGTTTTGCTAGCTTTCTAAAATGGCCGCTACGCGTAAGGTATATGCCATATTTTGAGCAAGTCAGGACGCTGTTACGACGCTAACTAGTGGGCAAGTTAGTTCGACTGAACGCACACTTAAAGAGGTTGTGGAATGCTCGAAGACATTTCCGTCATTTTTCGGGTATATGTAGCCTATGGTGTGATGAAATAAAAACGACTATTGTTTCTGTCATGATATGAGTACAAAAGGTACTTTTGAGAGCTGTTTTTCAGGTCCAGTTTCGACCCGAACGTGCAACTGTGTGAAAGTCGTCGTTGCGGGCAGCAAACAAAACACAGTAAATCGTGACGTAATAAACAGGACTCGTGTATGCTACTGGGCATTGGGAGTCCTGTTTATTACGTCACGATTTACTGTGTTTTGTTTGCTGCCCGCAACGACGACTTTCACACAGTTGCACGTTCGGGTCGAAACTGGACCTGAAAAAAGCTCTCAAAAGTACCTTTTGTACTCATTTCATGACAGAAACAATAGTCGTTTTTATTTCATCACACCTTAGGCTACATATACCCGAAAAATGACGGAAATGTCTTCGAGCATTCCACAACCTCTTTAATGATGAACGCACGCTACAGCCGACGATGGTTGGGCTATAGTTTAGTCGACTATTCAGGACCAGCCTGAAGCGACTTGTGCGGTCGCGCCACGATTTACAGCTGGTTATCAATAGCAAGTTTTCATAGCATAGTGCAGAGGGGACCGATATCAACAAATATGGCGGAACTTAACGAAAACTGTGAGTGCTAAATTTCATTTTCATTGCATAGTTTTTCCATGTTAGTTCACCATTGTACAATAATAAAGGTGAATATGTATAAGGTGTTTTTAACCACGCAATCACCATTATTTGTGTCATTAAACAGGAACATCAAGCGTTGAAAATATTTATTATTATTGGTCAGCGGATTTGTGTCCACGCACTTCAATTTCAGTACGCATGCGCTAGGTACGTCACGAACCAACCACTAGTAAACCATTGGTCCTTGATCGAACTTGCTCGTAAAATGAGGAAAATGTAGCAACTTCACTTCAATGTTAAAAAATGCAAGATGATAAAAAGTCCTTGTTGAATTAATAGAAAATTGTAAACTTGCTCACGCCTCCTCACAACGCCCTCATTCGCGCAAAATGACACATTAACACAACAAAATACTTTTGAGTTATTGTCATGAAACGTGAGGGCGCTGGCACAAAAAGCCACGCCTACTTTTGACAGGCCTCTTACTGATGCCGAATCCTGGAGAAAAATGAGTTGACCGTTTTCACTTGTTCGTTCACACTGCACTGACCAGTGGCCCGGGGTCACGGCACATGCGGAAGATGAGAAGGAACATTTCCCACACTACTTTGTAACGCATTCGTTTCCTTCACACATTTCAGTGAAAGGGGACATTAGCAGTCACCAACTCCATAATGGGGACGAGTTGTCTGTTTTGGATCTAGTCCTGGCCCAAGACTTTGAATTAAGTTCGTCTATAACGTACAGCCGATCCCTGGCGGCGATTCATGGCGCTGATAGGAGCAGTCCAATGACATCAAAAGTAGGAGGCGCTATCGACGAGACGAATGAAACTCAAAATCAAAATTTCGATTTGATTCAGCTTCCCGATAGCGCCTTCGAGACAGATTATCTGCACTGGCCAAGAAAGGAGAATAATTATAATCCAATCCAGTTTCGGCCAGAGATTATTTTGGGATCTAACTTTGCCGATGTGTCATTGCTAAAAAATGTACAGACTTGGGCCTGTTTGCATTTAGGCATTTTATACAAAATGATTCTTTTTATACTCAGCTTTCGAAAGTTGTCCGGAGAGCATTCGTGTGACCCTGCCCCTCGGTGAGACACATGGCTACGTCACTTGGGCCGAGCCCGAACTCAGCGTCGGATTTGAATTGGGGATGGCCAGATCAAATTTCGAGCCTGGGAGTTCGTTCGCAATCGGGCATCACAGGGTCGTGTACATGTACGGGAATGCATATACCACGGGGTGTGTCTTCTATATCAACGTTGTTGTTGAAAACACAGGTAAGACATTTGCTGGGGTTGAACTTGAATATTCTTTGAGGTAAAACATGTCTCAGTTTAATAATCCCTGTTTGTTTTTATTTGTGTACGACACTGAAATCTTAAGAGATCCTAAAAAAATAAAAACACTTTTGAACCACCCCAACACCCTCCCCTAACCGATCTTGAAGTACGGCTCATTCGTACGGACGTCACCGACATAAAAGCAGTAGGGCCTACGTCTTAAAAGGTTGCAAAAATGCCTTACCAAAGTCCGTCATAAACCGCATTATTAATCCTTAAATTTTCCCACAAACCGTTAACAACGATTTAACTTTTTATTATAACCACTAGACCCTTACATTCAGGACTGCCCTCAAGATGTCCAAGTTAACCTACCGTCTGGCCAGCTCGAGGCCTACGTCACGTGGTCCCAACCCCAGGTGATTGGTGGTGGCGGGCACGTGGTCGATGTCGTCACAGCAGGGGGCGGGCAGACGAAACCTGGTGCCCGGTTCTCCGCTGGTAACCACGAGTTGGTCTATCAGATCAAGCAAAACGCCACCGAATGGCGGAGACTGTGTTCGTTCAACGTGAACGTCATGGAAAACGGAGGTAACATGATACCGCATATATGTCGGTTGGGAAAATATTCTGTTATCTACTGGTGTCTATAAAGCTCATTTATGATAACGAATTCATTTATCAAAACTACTGTGTTCCTCACTGCCAAAACTTTAAGTCACTTTTAAGAAAGGGAAGAGTAAACTTTTAATTTTTTGCTTCAAATTTACGTGAAATGTAAGTAAGTTTGAAAAACTCAAATATTAATATGAATCTGATTGTTGTAAACAATTCAATACATTTGTTGGTATAATACCAAGCTTTTGGGTGTTAAAGAAGCCTACTGATGTTTCATGGTTGTCGCCTTTCAATTAGCCGCCTTTTGGGGTTTGGAAGATATGGTATCTAGGAACACAGGGAAACAATCGGTTTTTAATAAAAAGGCAATCATGGTTGCATTGTCATATCTTAACAAATTATAATAATAATGGTGGTCCTTCGGATCCGAAGAAGACGTCATAGTTAGGCAACTCGATGAACTCGAAGATGGCTCCGCAATCCGAAGCTGGATTGACAGAGTCTGGAGCAATGGGGGCATTGGAAGTCAGTCGTTGTCGTTGTTGTCGGCCGGTTGTCTCGCTGGTGGCGTTTTTCCCTCGCTGCAATCAGATGTTGTCGACGGGCCTCCTCGAACCTGGAGCTGGCCTTGTGCACAAGCGATCGCCAAAGTGGTCTATTACTGGCGTGGGACTCAAGGTCCTTAGGATGTATGTCGCACATCCGGAGGTTGGATTTGATGCAGTCCTTGAACCTCTTCTTGGGCCTGCCCTGCTTTCGTCTGCCGCACGCCAATTCGCCGTACAGCAGGTGTCTTGGCATCCGGTGTTCCTCCATGCGAATGACGTGCCCCACCCATCTCAGCTGGGCCTTGATGAGCACTGATTCTATGCTGTTAGACTTTGCACGGTCGAGAACCTCGAGGTTTGTGATGCGGTCATGCCACTGGATACCAAGGATGGAGCGGAGAGCACGCATGTGGAAGCTCTCCAGCTTTTTGATGTGCCTGCGATATAGTGTCCAAGATTCACATCCATAGAGGAGAGAGGGGAGAACCACGGCATTGTAAACTTTTAGTTTGGTCATCAGACGTATGTTGTGCTGGTTCAGGACTCTGTTGCGGAGCCTCCCTAGCGCTTGGCTTGCTTTGCTGATGCGGGTGTTGATCTCCTCATCAAGGGAGCCATCGTGTGAGATGATGCTACCCAGGTACCTGAAGCTCTGGATGTTGGAGAGCCGGGTGCCATCGATGGTGATGGTTGGAGGAGGGGAGTCGTTGTTTAAGGCAGGCTGGTGGAGCACTTCGGTCTTGCTGAGGCTGATTGTCAGGCCAAACAGCTTGCAGGCTTCTGAGAAGCGGTCCAGCATGAGCTGCAGGTCGGAGTCTGTGTGGGCCATCAGTGCGCAGTCATCGGCAAAAAGCGCTTCTTGGATGAGGTCGTAACGACACTTGGTTTTGGCGGTGAGGCGACGGAGGTTGAAGAGGGAGCCATCCAGGCGATAGCGGATGGAGACTCCTTTCTCCAGGTCTTGGTCGGCGTGGGATAGCATGTGGGCGTAAAAGATGTTAAACAGGACCGGCGCCAAGACGCAGCCCTGTTTCACACCATTGCTGATTGCGAACTCTTCGGTCACTTCGCCGCTAGTGAGGACCTGACCGGTCATGCCGTCGTGAAAGAGCCGTATCACTTTGATGAACTTCTTCGGGCATCCAATGCGTTCAAGCACAGTCCAGAGAGCTTCTCTGTTGACCGTGTCGAACGCCTTGGTCAGGTCAATGAACACTGAATAGAAGGGCCTGTTCTGTTCTGTACACTTTTCCTGTAGTTGTCTCACAGCAAAAATCATGTCTACCGTGCTTCTGTCGTATCTAAAGCCACACTGTGCTTCGGGAAGAATTCGCTCAGAGACGGTGACCAGCCTGTTGAGGATGACCCTTGCAAAGATTTTCCCGGCAATGGAGAGAAGCGAGATGCCCCTGTAGTTGCCGCAGTCCGCCCTGCTACCCTTGTTTTTGTACAAGGAGACTATGAGGGCATCACGGAAGTCATCCGGCATCTTCTCCTCGTCCCACACACTCTGCAGAATATTGTGGAAGGCTTCAAGGGCGTTGGGGCCTAGTGCTTTGTAGATCTCTGCAGGTATGCTGTCCTTCCCTGACGCTTTGCCGGAGCTGGTCTGGCGGATTGCCTTCTTAATCTCTGTCATTGTGGGGGGAGAGTCGAGTTCCTCCACTGCAGGTTGCTGTGGAATCTGGTGAAGCGCGGCCGGGTCCACGGTTGACGGTCTATTGAGTAGGGTGCTGAAGTGTTCCTTCCAGCGTTCTTGGAGCCCTGCCTGGTCCTTGATCAGGGTTGCGCCGTCCGAGGACAGCAGTGGTGAGCATACCGAGGTCGAGGGGCCATAGACTGTCTTCAGGGAGCTGAAGAATTTCTTGGTATTATGGGTGTCAGCGTACATCTGGACCTCTTCGGCTTTCGCCTGCCACCACTTGTCCTGCATCTCTCGCAGCTCAGCCTGCACCTTCGCCCGGAGGGACTTAAACCTCGCTTTTTTGGGCACTGAAATGGGATCGTTCTGCCATTCGGTGTAGGCTTTGTTCTTGGCAGAGAGGGCGGTTTGGATAGCTTCCTCATTCTCATCAAACCAGTCTTGGTGAGTCCTTGCTTTCGGGCCGAGCACCTCCTTCGCCGTCTCGGAGACGATGGTCTTGAAGGCAGACCATTTCCCGGTGCTATCACTCTCAGGGGGTGGGCCCTCCTGAAATTTTTCGTCGAGAGTCTGTTGGAACTTGGCGAGGTAGGACTCGTCCTTCAGCTTGGCAGTGTTGAAGGAGGCTCTGATGGTCTTGGGTTTATTTCTGTGTGGCAGTGGGATGTGCAGGTTCATGACCGATCTCACTAGTCTGTGGTCTGTCCAACACTCAGCACCTCTCATGGCGCGGGTCACGCAGACGTCCCTGATGTCACGTTGGCGTACGATGACAAAGTCTATCATATGCCAGTGTTTCGACCTTGGGTGCATCCACGTGGTTTTGTATTTATCCGCCATCCTGAACAAGGTGTTGGTGATGCACAACCCATGTTCCGCACACTTGCTGAGGAGGAGCAGGCCGTTGTCGTTGACATTTCCCACACCATGTCGCCCTAGGACTCTCTCCCAGTTGTCGTAGTCCCTGCCCACTCGCGCGTTGAAATCCCCGAGGATGACAAGCTTGTCAGCCTTGGGGGTAGTCTTGATGGTCTCGTCGAGGAGCTGGTAGAACTGTTCTTTGGCCTCATCTGTGCTTGAGAGTGTGGGTGCGTAGACACTAACAATAGTAAGGTTCCTGTTCTTACTGAGGGGGATGCGAAGCTTCATGAGTCGTTCGCTAATCCCAACTGGAAGCACAGGAAGGTTCTTCACAAGCGTTGACCTGATGGCGAATCCTACTCCGTGGATCCGGTCTTCAGCTTGCGGTTTTCCTTTCCAGAAGAAAGTGAATCCACCTCCCTCTTCCTTCAGGGATCCCTCGTCAGCAAAGCGGGTCTCGCTGAGTGCAGCGATATCGACACGGTAGCGCTGGAGTTCCCTAGCCACTAGCGCGGTTCTTCTCTCGGGTCTGCTGGTATTAGCTCGGTCGAGGAGTGTTCTGACATTCCAGGCTCCCACGATGAGTTTTCTTTTCATTTTACTTTCTTTATTATTATTTCGACCGCAGATTGGATGAGTCTGTCAACCGCGGTAAGCTGACCAGACTTAAGAGGGCAAAGCATTTGTTTAGGGTACCTTTTCTAACCCCCTCCCTCATGCGAGGGTGGGCAGTGCTAACCTAAAGAGGCTGCCCAGTCGCCCTGGGTGCTGCCGAGCTCTCCTGGTTGCCCTCAAAGTTCAGGAGAAGAGCGACCACTCTCCCAAAGGCCGCCTACGTGCAGGTTTGTGACTAACAACTGCCAGTGCTCACCAAACACCTGTTGCCTTCGCCACTCGCCCATCGCCGCAGGACTTTTTAAGGGGACGACAGATCGGTGATGAGTTGCATAACAGACCTGTGCGTGAGTGTTTTATAGTGGAAGAATCGTTGCACGGGGGTAATCCCACTCTCTCGGCCTGGTGAGTCTAGATCCAATGGCACGAAAAGCCGTTACAATTGGAGACTGCCAGGCTGCAGTGAATGACCAGGACTTACTATGTGTCACGTCCATGCTCTAACGCGCTCCACAAGCACTTGCTGACACCGCCTTCACGACCGTTGGATCCACTGTTGATCTCATCCGCTCACTCTGCCGGGAATCAGTCTTCACATGCTAGGGCTGACATACCCTAAATCCTTTGAAATTACTTTGCCGGGGATGTGGCCGCTGTCGCATGCAAACAGCTACGGGTATAGACTGCCAGCCAAGGCTAACGAGCTCTACCTGCCCGGGTTTGTGATCAGAGTTGTCCTTCTCCTAGGCAGACAGCCGTCCTAGGCTGACGAGTTCTACCTACCCGGGTTTGAGATCAGAGTTGTCCCTCTCCTAGGTGGACTGGCGACCAAGCCTACGAGCTCCACCTACCCGGAGCACCTGGTTATAGCGCCAGGAACACGCTGACACCCTCTGCCGTTCAGTAAAAAACAGGGTTGGCGCGAGAAGCCAGACAGTAGGATTTGGTTAGGAGAGGCTAATGTTGAGACGCTGTGCTGTGTAATGGGATATTTCAGTGGGAGAGGAGCTGCTCATTTCTCCAGTCCATCCCAGCACGTCCTAACCCATTTAACCCCATGGTGAGTAAAACAAAACAAAACAAATTATGCAAACATCTAACGCACAGACTGTACATGGTGAGTAAAACAAAACAAAACCCAAATGTTGGGACCATTGTTTTAGTGAAGTTCTGCATGTAGCACTTTCCAGATCTAGGATATGAGAGCCCAATTCATAAGCTTTCTTTTAGTACAAGAATTATTCAAATCGCTTGTGTACTTTTTAAGTTACGGAATTTTAAACACAACCACCATTTTAAAGTTCTGTCCACGGATCACTAACAAGGTGTACGTTGACTGCGTTCTTTCAGCAACACGAAAAAAAATCACACACGTCCCTATGTGATTTGTTTTCGTTTTGCTGAAAGAACACTTACCTTTTTGTGATCCGTGGACAGAACTGTAACGGTGCATGGTTGTGTTTAACATTCCGTAACTTGAAAAGTACACTGATTTGAATGATTCTTGTACTAAAAGAAAGCTTATGGATTGGGCTTTCATTTCCTAGATTTTGAACGTGCTACGTGCAAAACTTCAAACAATGGTCCCGACATTTGGGTTCCTTTTTTTACTCAACCTTTACTATATATAAGAAGGATTTGGAACTTGATAGATTTGTCTATCTTACTTATGTTGTACCATATTCTTTCAGCCCCCGCCGCAAACGACTTTTACTGCGGCACCAGCGACCATACCACCACCCTCGTTCTCGGAAGTATTCTTATCGTCGCTGTAGTTGCATGCGTCGGCCTTTGCTTCCTGTATTCAAGGTAATACATGTAACATAAACGTTCAGTTAACGTTGTCACTTTTTCGAAAATTCTGGAAAACTATACCGAAGGGAAATAGGTCAGTCAGAGTAGAGAGGAGGCAGTATTCTCATGACGCAAAGCAACACAAACTATACCAATTCGGAAGCACTGAGGGCGTTGATCCTCATAGGCCGACTTGTATATGACTATCATCAGTGTTCAAATCTAAGGTGGCGTGACCCTTTTGATGACACCTTTTAACTTTAACTTGGCATACTTCAGCGGCCATTTTGAAGGTACTGATAGTCTTTTTTTCAAGACGTTCTTTGTTGTAGTATGATGCATGGAAAATGCCATATGGTTCACTATGGGCGAGTTATCCAGAAGACTCGGGGTGGCGTAATTATACATGTACTTGGTCAAGAAATCTCCCCTCAAAAACCAAATGGCCGCTGATTAATTTTGTGGCGCCCTCTGTTGTTCGGTCATCCCATGTTTTGCGGAGTACTCACATTTCACCTCACTGAGTTTATTCGAAAAGTGAGGGAAAATCATTGTTAAACTTTGCAGGACCAGACGACAGCTATCCAGAGGTGGGTCTCGTTCCATGGTTCCCATAGACTCTGTTGCAGCCAAGCCTAAGGCGATCAACAACATCAGCAACTTCAGCGACCCGGGGCAAAGGTCCAGGTACCAGACCAACACCCAGCAGCTCCCGCCCATCCCGCTGCCCAAACCTGGTCTGGTACCCGAGGACAACGCTTACGAGGCGTTGGACAACTACGGCTACATGTGCCTTGAGTTACAGAAGCACAACAGGGACGGGTACCAGCTGCCCAGAGCCGTGTACCAGGCGTCCAAAGGAATCAATGAGTATTAGCTATTGTCTTTGGAATTATGAACCACGCAGAGGGAAACTGACTAGGAATATTATACCAATTGAAAATTCAAACAAAGAAATTGACCGGAGCGGGCCACACTGGTTTATGGCTTCTGACTAGCGCCCCTTGAGCAAAGATATTGACCAATTTGGGAACCGCCAACATAGGTCTGGATAACTCAGTTGGTAGAGCACCGCAACGGTAATCCGGAGGTCGCAGGGTCAAGCTATTCAAGCCTTGCATGCTCCAGTCAATTTCTTTGTTCAATTTTTCAATTGTCTTTGAAATTTGTTGTTCAATTTCTTTAGTTAAAATATTGTGTCTAATAACCATTCGTTTATAATCTAGTGAGAATGCGCAGAACTTGTACGTGTATATACTGAGCCCCAAAGTGTGCAATCCTGAAGGAACCTATATAATGGCGGGAAGCCTTGTCACTTTTTTTGTGACAAGTTTGTAAACAGGTAATTGGTTGAAAAGTCTGATAATCAGATAATTGTTTGATCAGATAATTGTTTGGTCTGTATAAAATGTGTCCGTATTCCATTGTAGGCCCCTGATGTACCGGTACGTATGATGAATGTTTATGAGTGCAATGAAGAATGATTCCATTCGGTGACACGAGGCGAAGCTGAGCGGAATGGAACATCCCATCTGCTACTGAAAATTATTCTTTCCATTGCACGAATGTGAAACATTCCTTTTTTATTTGTTTTATACAATACATCTGAATAAATCCTCGTCATCTGACTGGTCAGAGCCATCAATCGTGCGACCGTGCAATGGAACTTCCATTTACAGCGGAATGGAACTTCTTCTTTTACCGTGCGACCGTGCCGTGAGTTGGGACGAATAATGTAATGACATGTGATCAACCACCCACCAATCAGATATGGGGATTTATTCAGGCATTGTGTAGAATGTGATATGTACTGATCCATGATTTGTTACTACCGGTAATGTGCTCTCTAAATTCTAAAGAGTGAACATTTACTCCATTCGAGTGAAGATTCACTCCCACAGTCGGAAATTAGTGACAAGACGTTTTAGAGTGACATTTCTTCAATCGTAAAGATCGAGTTTTCACTCGAGCTTCGACTGAAGTGGCTCATTTTTTCAGACTATTTCAATCGAAAATGAGAGTGATTTTCACTCTAAAACGTCTAGTTCCTAATTTTAGTCTTTGGAATTTAAAGAGTGTCTCCGACATCTTGGTGTTTTGAGGTGGTAGAATATTGTCACTAAAGACTTAATGTTGTTCTTAATTATATTAACGTCGTTATTTATTACACTTCCTAGTTAGTCAAAACAAACATAGGGCCTACTTGTATTTAAGGTTAATTGGACGTTGCTGACCCTAGCTATTTTTGAGTTTCATCCCAAAATATAGATTTTCTTGAAAACAAATTGTCAATGGAATAGTTGTTTACCTCGAGTTATAAACATGGAGGGAAACTTTTTTACACGACACCAAATGGACAAAAGTAAATATTTTCGTCAAAATTAAACAAGGTAAAAACAATTAGTAAGGAAGAACAAATAATGAAGAGAAAGGGGAGAGCAGCTTTAAGGTAGAATTTTCCATCTTTTATTTGAACGCAAAAAATGAAAAAGTACACATAATTTCACGATATCACTCATTTCTCATGCCTTGCATTAATGTTTCGCAGTTCACTTCATCTTGTGGTCTCTATAGTAGCTTCCTTTTCTAAGGGAATTAACGAATTTTCGTTAAAATTCTTATCAATAAACAGTCATCAATTCTGACATCAATTATAATTAAAAGCCAAATGTCCCACTGTTTTAATCAAAATGTAACAACGATCCCAAAGGTTAATATAAAACGAAAACCAGGCTTCAAGTTTGGTTTGTGACATTGCCATCACTAGTTGACATAATTATAATCTGTCATCCCACGTTATCACGTTTTGACCAATATAACAGAAGACCGGTATTGACATCAGCGGCAGAGCCAAAGTATTGAAGAAAAAAAACAAATGCATAATAAACCTCGGCTAAGCTTAGCCTTCAAAACCTCGTCCTTGACGCATTATACCCTTGTCAATATTAGTTTTCTTTCATTGTGTTTGCCTAATTAAAACTCCATTAGTCGTTACATCCATTTGTGGTTTAATAAACCCATTTGGAAGAAGTTGCCGATTTAAGCAAATATTCGCGTGTGACTGACAGAAGTAATTAGTGCTGTCATCAGCCAGTGCCTCCGGTCTCAGCTATATTTTTGGTATGGCTGTATTGCCACTTAGGGCGGCCTTCAGATACGCACGTAGTCCGTAGATATAGGTTTGCTCTAGCTATATCACCCTGCAGACTTTATTCACGACTCGGCCAAGTCAAATTGAAAGCGAGGTAAACTCTTCACTTTCGGAACTTGCGAGTAGAAATGAAACCAATTAAATATAGTTAATTACAAATTAATAACAGTCTGCTCTGATGAATGGTTTAAAACTTGTGATTAAACGTACCCTAATGTTTTAAGACTCATAAAAAAAATGACAGTAAGGCTTGGAACACACGCCAAATGTGAAATTCAACAGGTTACAATAAGCCTCTGTATTGATGACGTCACACTTTTTTGACGTGTGTGCTTTCTTATGGGAGCCTGGCGGGGACGACGGTTTCGTACACCCATAGAAAAGCCCACACAAGTAAACAAGGCGTGACGTCATCAGTACAGATGCTTGTTTAACAGATTATGGAAACACGATCGGAAACGGCTTCCTCTTGAATAAGGTCTATACATCTAATGCGCTGATCACCTCATGTCTTTGGGCTCTCATTGGACAGATTTTTCAAATTGACGACCCGAGGTCATCACTTCCGAGTTGCTGATAGCCGGCAGACCGGAAATGTGCAGTGAAGGTATAGGATACGCTGCATTGTGGGACAGTTGCGCTGCACAAGATCTCCGTTTGTCTTGCCCACTGTCATAGGCACGAGCAGTATACATGGACGTCTTTTTGCACACTTCTGATCTATCCGTAAAAGGCTCCACGCTTTGATGGGCTACACGCAATGCATTGCGACATTTGCGTTTCCTATACACACTTTTTTTGTGGTAGAGATAAAGGTAACCCGCCAGCGCTCTTGGAAAGTTGCGATTGGTATGAGGAACAGAATGGGTAAAGACTTTCATGTTACCGTGCTCCTGTACGTCTCCTTAATGGGCTACTGAGTTTCCAATGTTGCTCTACACTCCTGTTTTAATTTAGAAAGAAAGGAAGTCCATTTGAGATTTTCAGTGTCAGTCATTGAAACTGACAAGCGGATTGGGTAATGCATGTTCGTAATTGCTATTTGTCTTGCCTTCAGTAATTAGTGTGCTCAATTATTCTCTGCTGTTTCTATGAAGAGGAGGGAAAATAACGCGAAGCTCGAGCTAAAACTGGCTCGACCAATCCGGCGGTACAAACCAACGTGTAGATGTGAGCCATCGCTAAGAGAGCTAATTATCACAGAGTTCATTAGTTTGGGCGTTTCACCGCCAAGCCAGACAAACCATAGGCACTGTTATTAGAAAAAAAACCTCGATTCAACAGCTACCCTTCTAGCCAAAATTCACACTCGAGCCTTTCTGAACAGCGGTTGAGGAGTGTTGATAAACTGAAGCTCACGCTATGGGGAACGCCGTAGGAAACGCGTACCTATGGAAATTGGCTTGGGCAGTAACGTTCTTTCAACTCTTGATGAAAATAGGTAAGATATTTAGATGAATATCTGTTGGGGATAACATCTTCAACATGTTGGAGCTTATGGCTAATTACTGCAGCATGTGATACTGAGGTGTCAATTTTCCAAACATTGAATACGGGCTGATGAAATTCACTTATCTGGAGGTGCATGCACGTAAATTCAAACCGCAACAAATCGCAATGTTAACTTTTTAGGGGATTTAAAATTACAATGAACTCTAGTTGTACTTTTTGAAACAGAGCTGCAGACAAATTATTTTTTAATAACTTTATAATAGTTTATGCGGTACCCGCTGCTATGTACATAGCACCGTTAGCTCGGTAAGTGGTAAGACATCTGCACTAGAAAGCATGAGGTCGTGGGTTCGAGTCCCACCCGAGTGATTTTTCCAACTTTCACTCGGGAGGTAACACACTGAGTATACAGTGTTTAAACGTCGGTGAAGGGCAAAACCTAATTTAATTTATTTTTTTCTTAACTATTTATGGAATAACCATTTAAAACTGAGGCATTATAGAGATAGTTGAAGCTTATCAAAATAGGAACATGTGTGAAAAACATTTGCCAACACGTTAGTTAGCAATAGTTCGTCTCTAGATTGGAATAAATAATCAAAACACCTGACATATTAGTTAACGATCACTCATAAAGCACTGACTTAATAATACTTTAATTGACTATGACAACGTCACTGTGCCTTAAGTGTCTGGACATCTAACACTCCCCTTGTTGTTTTGGTAAGATAATTAGAAAAACATTTATTTAATTTTGAAGATGACTTTGTACTTGAGCTTATATTTTGCTGGTGTCGTTTTTCAGAGATATGAATATGCAAAGACCAAAATCCTATCAATGTGGTTTTTGAGATTTTGTTTCGCATTTCATCGCCTTTTCAAACGCAAGCCATAATAAAATCGGTTCAGTTAACCAAAATAGGTACAAAAAAACTCAACTTTTGCCAAAACTGATCAATAACAGTTCGTTTCTAGAAATAGCGTCTTGACATCTGACCGTAATTCGTTTGTGATACAGTGATACAAATTGACTGTGAAAGCTCTTGCATTCCCAGTGTCTTCGAATTTGATATTCCCCTGGTTTTGAGTAGTCTGAGTATCAGCCGATATCCACGGAGCCAAGTCCTGTATAACGTCTGATATGTCTAGACATGCAGATATATGCAAGCCGCGCGCCAGCCAATCGGAGTCGACTTTACTAAATCGCGACGTCACTTCATTCCTAAATCAGGACTGAAATGGTTTGATTGGTCAATTCGAATGCAGTGTTTTGTAATACAACAACAGCCGGGCGCGATATCGCGTAACATGATACGGAGCGCGTGACACATTTTTTTGTATCCATTGTCTATGACGCGCAACAGGTGAAAGACCGAAGACCCGATATAAAAAGCGCCCGCTGATTGGTCAAAATCTAGGAGGTCAAGAGACCGGGTCTTGCCTAATTAATGAGCGAATCTTTTCACGCATAATAGACCATGGCTTTCGCCATGGTATATAACATAGACTAGGTTTTGAGTGCTTTGTTCAGTATTTTCTTCAAGTCCTTGAAATCCAACTTTTTCCGTTTTCCAAATATTTCCCGTTTAACATTAAGTATTTGTTCCGTTTGTTGCAGGACACGTTGTTGCAGGACGCGGTTCGACAACAGGCAGTCCCAACATGGCATACACTGTGCAACAAGGTATGGCGTTTGGACAAATCTAACTGGATGTCACAAGCCTGCATTGTATTGGTCAGAACGATGACGCTGCAATATTCAAAGATAAACTTTAGATATTTTCCAAGTTCCAGGGGCGTAAATCCTGGGGGGGGGACATCCCATCAACAAAAATGTATTCAATAGCACTGAAAAGTGGAGAAACAAAGTACAAATGGTTTAAAAATGCGCCATTTTGCTGAAAGCGCGAGTATTGATATACATTCTATACCCTGAAGATCGCCCCTAGTGTTATGTGG